TCCTCTGCGGTGGTTGGCTCCCACGCTCTGCATCTGTCTGCAGCTGGAAGCAGCATGCTGTCTGTCAGTTTCCTTGGACTTTCGGAATCTTTTTTCTCTGCCACGGGTAAGACACCTACAAAGCAGATAAGCGGCATGACGTTCCTGGTAGCGCTTATTTCATTCTGCTTTTTCCTATTCCTCAAGCCCCACTTTGAAACAACTGGTTATCATTTTCCTCCAAGCCCCAGAATTTGTCCTCATCACTCCTCCATGGTGAAGGATCCTACCTGTTCTGGTCAGTGCAGGTGCACCCATGGATAAGCCAGCAGTTGTCACAGAACAAGAGCTTCTAAGTTCTGCTGGGCTTTTTGTGCCTCTCGCAGAACATGTCCCTGTCCTTTCACAGCCCATGTATTCCTCCAGTTGTTTTTTAATCCTATATACAGAAGGGAAGGAAATGCATTTGTTAATAATGCCCCCACACTTGCATACACCCTCTACTGGATGAGCAACAGCCATTCATGAGCCATTCTACCCCTATTCGTAGCCAGCTGTTGAAGTGTAACACACACACAACTTCCTGCACTGCTGGAGTAGTGGAGACTGAAACACTCAGTACAGACATGTTCACGCTACAGGTGCCTATTCTTGTCTTTGGAGTAACTCACCCCTGCTGGCTACAGTCTCATCTGATAAAGCCCCTCTCCATTGTGAGGGCCAGTGAGATTAATGAACCTCCTGGCAGACTGATGTCTAACTACACGGTTTCTACCTTAGCAGGGTGCTATACTAACACTGCAGCAACTCTTCACATCAAGCCAGGGTAATGTCTCCTCAAAGCCAGTCCTGACTTTGAAGGGCTTCAGAAATTCCCATGGTTAGTCTGACAACCTGAGGGTTAAGAGAGCTCCTAAGTGGGGTATCAAGAGGCCAACAAAGATCGTGGTTGCATTCCCAGCACTGCAGGGTTTAACTACATTGCATTGGTGTTATCTTCTAAGAACCCTGGCAGAGGGTCAGTTGGGGCTCTAGAGAGAAACCACCTTCAGATTTGCTTCATAAGTGGAATTAAAACCAAAACAGAAATCCCCAAACAAACAGGAAAAGAAAATCTAAAAAGTGTGCTCCAGACCAAGGCTGCTATGCAAACTGGTGCTTCAGTGGAACACTGATACTATGCAAGGAGCCTGGAGGGAAAGTATGAACATCTTGTTTTGCTAGAGCAGTCCTCAAATGTGCTTTATTCCTAAAGGAGTTTTTACCCCACAGTTTACCCAGGCACCCTTCTCTCCTGCTTCCCATCAATACAGGCTGGCAGAAGGGGCAGAGGGAGAAGAAATGAAGTTGTGATCAAGTGACAAGTGGTCACAGGCAGTTTTTTATGGCTAGACAAGGCATGCTCATAGGAATAATGCAGTTCATTCACCCATCACTAGGAAAGAGGGCTATTTCCTTCTAGCTGTTAAGCACACATAGCCACCTTAGTGAAGGAACAGCTAGGGGTGCAGAGCTGCCAACGAGAGGAGGAAAATGGCTGAAGAGTTTAACTCAGGGAATATCAGTTAGATCCCCTCAGAAACAAAAGGCAGGTAGTTGCTAGTCAGTTGAGCTGAGTGGAGCTTGGCAGCACACAGGTGAATTCTTGGAGAGAACTGTGGGGGGGAAGTTTTCCTCAACTTCCAAATCCACTCTTGATGTGGAAAGAGATGCATCAGAAGATGTCACTGAGCCCAGCTTTAACAAAGGTCTCAACACCTCCTTAAACCTCAGTGACGTTACCCAAAAGGGTGGCACATCAGCATGGATATTCTGACAACGCAGTTGCTCTAATGAGGATGTAAAACACTTACTCATTATGTCCAGACACTGTGGCATAATACATAGCTTCTTGGCCACATGAGTCTATATGAGAAAGATCAGCACCGTGCCGAAGAAGAAGTTGTATTATATTCATATCCCCAGCAGCAGCAGCAAACATAATAGGGGTCCTAAAGCATCCAAGAGATGATAGGAAATACATTAGCTTCTATGGACGTTGCATTGTCATCACTTCAGTCCCTCTTTGCTCCCCAAGCAATTCATTTCCCCTCCCCTACAGGCACAGTTAAAGCACAGCCGAACACATGGAAGCGTTGGAGAATTCAGGCTGGCAGGATCACAGGAGGTCTCCAGGCCAACCACCCGCCCAGCGCATACTCTGGATGTGTGTGTGTGTGCACACACGTGCACGCATGTATGGCACCATAGCCAATGCTTTCTTGTAGTCCTCTGTGTGGAAATCGTCCCCTGAGGTAAGAGAGCAGCTGAGTGTGGGTCTGCCTGCACAAGTCACATGGAAGGAGCTCCTTCTGGGCAGCTCCTGGTTCTTTTTCAGTGCTGATTCCTACGCATCCCAGCAAAGCAACCTTGATGATGCTAAGGAGTCCCATGCACACTTTTGACAAAGCCTTCACCTTCCATGTATATCTTCAGCATGCACATCAGCTCCTTTTTGAAGAAGGAACTCGACCATCTCTTCACAGTGCTTGGTGACTGCAACTGTAAGCGGAGTGTATCCCACCTGAAAGGATAAATCATCTCCCTTAGAATAAGGGTGAATCCACCCAAACCACCACACACAGAAAAGTCAAGCAAGTTTTAGGATGAGGAGCCTCACCCAAAGTCCAAGCTTACCTCATTCTGAGCCTCAATATTGGCCTTGTGCTCAAGTAACAGCTCCACTAGAGATTTGCTGGGAATGCTGGCAGCCACGTGAAGGGCAGTGTTGCTGTCAGCACTTTTGAAGTCTGGGTTGGCACCATGCTCCAGCAGAACAGCCACACAGTCTTTGTGCTGGTGCTCTACTGCCTGGAAAAAAAGACGCAAAGGAGGAATAACTTCCAACATATATGTTTCTCTCTGTTAGAACTCCCACATCTTCCCAAGACTGGAAAGTATGAGCCTTTTCAAAGATTAGACAACATATAGCCCTTCCCTGCTGACTACAGCATAGTTGTTTCTACGCAGGCCTACATAAAGAATCACAGAATGGTAGGGGTTGGAAGAGACCTCAGGAGATCATCTAGTCCAACCCCTCTGCCAAATCAGGTTCCCTGCTACAGGTCGCACAGGAAAGAGTCCAGGCAAGTTTTGAACATCTCCAGAGATGGAAACTCCACACCCTCTCTGGGCAGCCTGTTCCAGTGCTCCGCTCACAGTAAAGAAGTTTTTCCTTAAGCTTGTCTGGAACTTCTGGTGTTCCAGTTTTTGCCCATTACCCCTTCTCCTGTCACTGGGTACTACCAAAAAGAACCCAGTCCCATCCATTTGGCCCCCATACTTCAGGTACTTATGGACATTGATAAGATCCTCTCTCAGTCTTCTCTTCTCCAGGCTGAAGATTCCCAGCTCTCTCAGCCTCTCCTCATACAGCAGATGCTCTAGGCTCCTAATCATCTTTGTGGCCCTCAGCTGGACTCTCTCTAGAAGATCCCTGTCTTTCTTGAACTGAGGAGCCCAGAAATGGACACAGTACTCCAGATGTGGCCTCACCAGGGCAGAGTAGAGGGGGAGGAGAACCTCCCTCAACCTGCTGGCCATGCTCGTTTTGATGCACCCCAGGATACTGTTGGCCTTCCTGGCCATGAGGGCACACTGCTGGCTCATGGCCAGCCTGCTGTCCACCAGCACACCCAGGTCCTTTTCCACAGAGCTCCTCTCCAGCAGGTCAGCCCCTAACCTGTACTGGTGCATGTGGTTATTCCTCCCCAGGTGAAGGACTCTGCACTTGCTCTTGTTGAACCTCATCCGGTTCCTGGAAGGTATGTGATGGAGTCACCATCCCCGGAGGTGTTCAAGAAATGTGTAGATGCAGCACTCAGCGATATGGTTTAGTGGGCGTGGTGCTGAGTTGACGGTTGGACTGGATGATCTTAGAGGTCTTTTCCAACCTTAATGATTCTGTGGTTACGTATGGCTCAGTGCATACTCGATAAGCCCAATGTACAACAAAATAACAAACTCCACGTACGTTCACCAGTGGCGATTTCTTAAAATTGTCACTAGGGTTTAGCTGGCACTTGTTTTCTGCTAGAAACTGAACGACATCTGCGTGGCCATTTGCACAAGCAAGATGCAGAGGTGTCCTGGAAATGAAACATATTCAGTTAACACAGACAGACCGCTGAAGACATTGTTTCAGGCTGTGGTACCTGCCGCATAGGGCCACAAGCCTTAACTGGCAAAAAACAAGCTGAAAGCAAGCTTTCTCGTTCCAGAGCCGGTGGCAGCAGTTGCACACCCAAAGCCTGGGACCGGCTAGGAAAAATCCCTGACATGTCCATTGGGTCAGGAGGCATTTCCTTAGCTCTGTCAATGAACCTGCACAGTGCCCAGGCACTGGTTGCTGCTGCCAGCAGGACCGCCCAGCCACCCAGCATAGCAAAGGAGACGGCATCTTGGTAGCCTGGACTCTATGGAGGCTACATAAGTTTATGGAGACTGCAGAGTCTGTGTAAGCCCCTGGGTTTTCCCCCAGTCAGTCCCATGGCAGACGTGTTCCAGAGACAGAGGGGATGGGATTTCTAGCAGCAGCGGGAAAGCTGTGCCAGGTCTTTCTGCAAATCCTTGCCCTGGTCAACCAAGCACCTCAGTCTGGCAACAGGAAAGGAGCTGTCTCTGCTCAGACAAAAGCCTGAGGAGCTCCACACAAGATTCACTAACAAGGACCAGGCTGGCAGGGCAGGGCAGGGCAGGGCAGGGCAGGGCATCTGCCGCCTCCTCTGCTAGCTTGGGCAGGTCTCCGCTAAGGCCAGCGCTGTGGAGCCGGCCCTTCTCCTGGGGCCGTGCTGGGCTTTGCCGGCTCTTCCAGCCGGGGCGAGTGGAGGGTTTGCTACGGGCACTGCCCGCCTCTTACTGCTTGTCCGCGTTCCGCCCGTCGATGCGGAGCTTCTTCCACCACCAGCGCTGCTGCAGCCGGGCCAGGTCACCTCTGGCGGCCGCGCGGTGCAGCTCGCTCCAGCCCTTCCTCCGGAGCTCGGAGGCCCCGGCGGTGCCGGGCGCGGAAGGCTCCAGCACCCTCCTGACGAGTCGGAGGATCCTCTGCATGCTGCGGCGGGGACGAGGGCA